TACTACTAGCTAAAATAATAATCAAAGTATTGGAAATAATCAATTTAGCATAGAATTAATTTAGTACAAAAAAGGCTTTGATACATCATGACTGCCTCTCGAATTGATCCCCAACTGTCTAGACTAAATGCGCTGTCTTATACCATTACACCACCAAGTTTCTGATTTGATTCTTCGGAATATAACACACTTATAAATCTTATGAATTAGGCTCATTAGGAATGTCATGAATAGCAGACAAAGACAATCTGAATAACTTTTGTTTCAGAAACCCATTTGGGAATTGGAGAACAACAAACAGTGCTTCATGTACTATTCAAAATATTTATGAAAAACTGAAAACTTGTGAGAAGATGCAGTGAGTCATTATATTTCTGTTATATGCATTTCCATCGCTTTTTTCCCCTCCTGAAATTAATGAGTATATCCATCTTATAAGTTACTACCTTTTGACTTTTCCTCTTTTAGCTGAAATCAGTTCACATGTCCTATGAATTAAAGATATATTATTTCTATTTTGCTTTTCTAAATAAAGAAAAAATCAAAACTGAGATATTTTATAATCAAATAATAATCACAATCGCTTTTCATTATCAATTTGGACTGCTAAGTAACAGCTTGCCAATGATCAAATGACAGGCCATAATAAATATTTGGCCAGTCATTGGGCTATTGACAAAATGCTACATGTATTTAGACCATGCATTTAAAATCAAGCAATGCAGTAGTGCATCTGCATCTATGTGATTGATACTCTTGTCTTTGTAACAGATGCCATTATCATCATTTGACCAAATGAGGAGCAAGTTCAAAAAAAAAAAACAACTTACCAGTTGTCTGTGTCTGCAATAATACAAACAGCATCAGAGAGCACATCATCTATTACAGAATGCTAAAAAAATAACATTAGCATAATCAAGAAATATAATGGGGAGCAAGCCTGTACAAACAAGTAAAGCTGTTAAAAAAGGACAAATCAATCAATATCAAAAATTTTAAGAAAGAGATATTTAGCAAATAATTTATATCTTTTTGTCTATTTTCTGAGGATTCATCTCTCCCTGCCATCATTGGATTTATTTCTGTCTACAAAGCACATACAAATGATATCAAAACCTAATAAAAAGTAGATTAAAAAGTAACACATCTATGTTAAAGACAAAATGACAAATGGAGAAAGAATGGAGAAAATGCATGGATTAGTTAAGGAGCATTTACCTGTAGAGCCAGTAACAAATCATTGGACAGATTAGGCAGTATATTTTCCTTGTTGCATGTGACACCTTGTAGCACAAAGTCTGGGTGATATGTATCGCTAACCCTATTTGAAGTAATATGATAGTTATCATTGTAAATCTAATGTCTGTGTGTCGATCACAGACTAAGATTTGCAACAGCACATTTACTTGGCAACATACAGGAAGAAATCAGGTTGTTGATGGTGATACAACTCGAAGATTGTTTAACCCTTTAACTGGCAATCATACAAATTTGTACAATTTACATACATCACTCTTTAAAAAAATTGCATTTTCTCAGTTTAAYAGCAATTGTACCAAAGATTATCTGATTGTGCTATCTGTTTAAATCTGCAGAGGCTAACTCCTAAACTCAGCATCCTAGGTTTCCCAATAGAGGATATAGTCATTTTTGAGGGCAAAATCTGAGCTGCACACTTTTATATGTCACAAGAAAAAACACTCAAAAAATGGCATAATTTCTTAACAATTGTAACCTGTTTTATTGAGCAAGCCAAGAAACAGCTCTTTCTGTAGAATTGTGGGTAACAGCCTATTTTTCAGACAGAAAGTACCCACACTCTTCATTTTAAAGTACACATGACACCTTTTAGAAAATCGCTTTTATCCAAAAGTTTACACGCTGCCAAGCACTTTTGTGAAGAAAGAAATACAATTTTAATTTTACTTTCCGAGTTATAGACATTTGAAAATTGAAAATGCAAATGAAGTCATGTCAACTAAGGAATTGGTCCAGACTTTTTACATTGTTTGTGTTATGTTGTTCTTGGTTGAAGAGCTCAAATCATCAATGATAGTAATAATTGGAAGCTGAAAATGCTTTTTCATTAGAACGATTTCACATAACRATACAAAAAATGCAAATAGGTTTATTTTATGCAAATTTATTGACTGTAAAATGAATTCATGTAATCATGTAATACAGACTCTATTCTCTCACTTATTGCAGCTTTTTTGCTAATTTATATAATTACATCACAACAAAACACAAACATTTCATTTTCCAAGCAGACTTGACATGCTTCAGTCTTTGTGCCAAGCTTTGCTACAATTTCTATCATAGCACATGCAGAACTGTACCATGCAGCATCTACATGTAGTACAAGCTTAGCTTCAAATATTTTAAAAAAGCTTGATACGTCTTTCGGCCAAAAATACCACAAGATCAATGGCAGGAGAGAGTAACCACCTTGGGTGTCTCTTGGGTGTCAATTAATTTTTGAGAAAGCCGAGCAAAGGCTGGCCAACAAAAACTYAAGTCCGTAATTATATTTGGGCTCAAAAAAKACTGTTTTGTTTTGCTCATGATGAATGACAATAAAATCCAATTACAAGATAGGAAACAATGCTGTAATAAGTGAGAAAATGAAGCATGTTTTGCAACATTACATGAGTTTATTTTACAGTCAATAAAATTTGCATAAGATAAACCTGCATTTTTTTTATCGCTATGTAAAATCGTTCTAATGTAAGTAAAAAGAATCACGTTAAAAAGAATAACATCCTCTTTCATGATTTTGTATATTAAATCGTTCCTTAGTAGACATCATTTTCTAAGTTTCAATTGCCCATAACTTGGAAAATACAATTTGATATCAAATTCTTTCTTCACAGATGTACTTAGCAGCATTTTCTCTTCTAGATGAGAATGAATTTCTAATGGTGTCATGTGCACTTATGGTAGGTTGCAAAGTCAAGCACAAGACAGCCAGGGAATCAACTTCACTCCAATCAGAGTTAGTAGAGGAGAGAGAGAGTCTCCTCTACTAACTCTGCTCCAATGGAGCCATTGTATTGAAAGTAACGATTGATTGTCATTGTCTTAATGAAATCGCTTCCCACTTCTGATTTCTTCCAGAAGATTGCCTCAGCCACCTTTTTGAGCTTCATGATGCAAATCTAGGAGCTCTTGTGTGAGAACTTGACTGAAGCTGATTGCTATAGCCAAAGCCACAAGCAAAAATCTAATAGGCATCCCTGAAAAGTATGAGCCTTCAGTTATCACAAACAGCACCAGTTTCCTTGATGATCTTTAAACTAGAAACAAAATCTTTTTTTTTTAATCTTTCTACCTTAAAAGCAGTAAAAAATCTCCAAAATATACACCAGATAAAGGGTCAATAAAATTAAAATCAAATGTTCAAATGAGTCAATTCAAAGTTTATCATAAATGTCAGTGATCGATCACAGCTTAGCAGAATTCTTTTGGGGGTATAAACCCTTGTTGTGTTCACAAAATCCCAACTTAGCATGAGTTTCATCCAGCAATTAGGTGTGATTTTTTTCCTGAAATTGGTGTAGTCAGATAGATATAATAGATACTAGATATAATGTTATTAAAGTGCACGACACCAATAGAAATCCATTCGCATTCAAAAGAGTAAATGCTGCTAATTACGTCTGTGAAGAAAGAAATTGAGTTTGAATTGTATTTTCTAAGATTGTGCAAAAAAAAAACACATTAAAACTTAGAAAATGTGACTACTTAATATAGATTTGACTGCACTTTATTTGCAATTTCCGAAGTCAGACCTTTGCAAAGCCTTTCAAACACAGCTACAGGCTTTAACAGCCTTGAATGCRCTGAATGTGAGAGAGTTCTACACTGCTATTGCTGATTCCTCGTCTGCTTCCCTTAGCCTCAATGGTGGAATCCACAATGAACAAAACTCTGCCCCATGTTATTTGCCATTATGGTAAATGACTTGATGTCACATTGGGGCCCCAGAGCTAAGTTTGTTGATGATCTGACATTGCTTGAGATTGTTCCCCGGAATTCCCCATCCATAATATGCAGTTTTTAGTTGCTGATATTCAGTCTTTCGCAGCAAATAASAATATGACACAGTACCATRTTCATTCAAAGGCCTTCCTTATACATCCTTAAAACGCATGTATAAGGATTACCTAATCTATAACAACCAATAATYAGTACACAAATTATSAAATAAGTATTGACTATACATGTTTGCAAGAAACAATTATCTAATTCAGCATAATATAATTAGTTCTCTTGATATTTAAAAAAAACAACAACAAAAACAAAAAAAAAACGTTATTTAATGTATAATATTCCTTCCTCTCAGCTTTCTTTTCCCTCTAATTCCCTTTTCCTTATTTTCTTACTATCTTATCTTTTATTTTTTGAACCCATAATTGACAATTATGGCAACCAACTCAAAAGCATTTTAGCTCCTTTGGTTGCCGTACACTAATTCAAATTAATGATGTATTATAAATTACATTAGAAATATCCAATAAAATAAAATAATCATGAATGTAAATAATGATCAGAAAAGTGTGAATAAACTAAAATTGAATTGAATTGAATTGAAATTGAATTGACATTAAATCCATCAAAATGTAAAGAGCTTTCAATTGACTTTTTGCAGTACAACAGTGAGGTGTGGGCGCMCATTACTGTGGGTGGCACTCAGATTGGCTGTGTCAAGTCRTTTAAATTACTCGGGATCCATCTTTCTAACGACTTGTCCTGGACACCTCACTTTGACATTAAGAAGGCCAACTGTCGGCTATACACTTTATGCCAGCTTAAGCTTTGTAATGTTCTGCCTGCGCACATAATTATTGTCACACTGTTCTCGGTAAGATCAGTTGTGGAATATTGACGACTTTMAAAAATGGCGCGATGTGTCACGGTCGCCGACCAGGGCACTGGGGACGAAGCGCTAAAACGAGGTCTCAAAGGCCACCCTCCGTATAGTGAGCTTCCATGGTGCCTTGCAAGAGTGTTTTGTTGTAAATAACATATCAATACATCTTTCAAACTTTTGGACACTGCCTACATACGATCTTCGTAGTGATTTCTTGATGGAAGGCCTTTGAGGTCTCGTTTCCATGATTCGTCACTAGTCCCCAATATAGGCGGACGTGAACTGACGCCATTTTTGAAAGTCGTGCATGCTGCTGCCATTTTTTTCTAACCTTGTAATGGCTTTAGAGAGTCTTCAAAAACGGTCACTTAAGACTAAATTCCCAGATTTAAGCTATGAAGCTGCCCTGCATGCTTCAAAACTTGAAACATTATTAACTTGTAGAACCATCACAGTTCAAGATTTATTAAGAACTTGAAACCAGACAATCCAGTAYATACATTAGTAAAGAGTAGGATTGTGCCTAGGGCTCTTCCATATAACTTACGAGATCAAAGGAATTTTTCCTTAGCACCYACGCCAACTGACCAATTTAAGAACTTTTTTACATGTAAAATTGTTCTATTTGCTTAACGCTTAATTTTGCTGACCCACCTGTAAGTCAGATTATTCTGCAAGAGGTGTCAATTAAACAAATCTATCTATATATCTATTTAACTACCTTAGCCTTCTAGTAAACACTTTGCTTAAACATAAATTCTCTAATGTGCTTGTTACCTATGAAAATACTAAGCAAGTCACCACCAGCTAGCCTAGGTTAGGTGCCAAAAAGCATAGTCTGGCTTCGATGAATCAATAAATAAACACTAATTCTTAAGGAGCAATTTTTCAACATTTGTAATTTGTCTTGAATAACAGAGGCATGCAAAGGCAACCAATACAAGACTGCATCATCAATATATTTACTTACCCTGAAAAAAGTGTGCGTCCAAAGTTTTTGGATTTTCTCCATTTGTCAATTCTGAGGGAATCATCTTCATAGCACTGAGCATTAACAATCCTGGAAATGCAATTATTAGAAAAACTAAATCATGAAAACACTAATCAATAATTATTGAATTTAAGAGTTCTCTGTATGCAGGATTCATTTAAAAAAATAAGAGAATTGTCTGGTACAGTACATAGACACACTGATTTCCCCCCCATGCTTTTGGATGAATTGATTCATCAWTAGGGAATGTGATTCAAATAACTTTAGCAGTTAAAAACTACATACATGATGAACATGCATGCAGAGATGCTCTCTAATAAGATAAAAAAATGTAACAACTAATAGATGATAATGAGCTTGGCATCAAATAACACAAGAGTAGCCTTCCATTTACTCCTGTCTGGGGAATAAAACAACAATATCAAAATAAGAGATTGAACAAACTACGAAACAAAATACATTTACAGTAACTTACAAATAGGATTAACACTATTCTGAATTATTGCTCAGTTTGACCAGYGAAAGCAAATTTTTAGCAACAACTTGACATAATGCTGTGCTTATCAAAATGTATAACATATTGAACTATCTTWATTATCTTGAATCCTGAGTTGTTTKGAACACRTTTTTATAACCATTCAAACCAAGAGTTTAAGGATAACACTAAATGCAAAAATAGTATCACAAATATAACAAAATAATCACTATTAAAATAATGCTTTCTTTCTTGATTCCTACTATTTTGCTTCATTCTATGTGACTATGGTCTATAATGAATAGCCCATAGTTCAGAAGCCAATCAGAATGCTGGATTAGTAATGTATGATGTATTGTTTCCTAGTTTGCTCCATTCTCMACTACTTCACTAGGTAAATTATCTTATAATAATATTATTTTAGTCTCTAGACAATATAGCAAGGGCACTCTCATGGTATTAGATTCCTGGCTTCTGGACCTTCTTTTAAAAAATGTATACAGTGGTTGATTATTCAGACTAATCTTGATTATTCTATTAACCATAATCTCCCTGTGTTCCCATTTTCTACAGATATGAATGAGTTGCAATCCTATACAAAAAGATGTAAATGTATAATGTGATCCTACTTGTAGTTGTGTTTACATGTCCATTAGGATCACCCAAGGGTAGGGTTACCCACCTAAAATCTCCTGCATGCAARGCTGGACTGTTCCTTTTTTTAAATATAATTAATGTAATGTCTTAGAATTCTATGGTCATTTTTCAGTACTATAAAAACCATACATATAAAATCATAACTTTAATATTCAAGTTCCCTTATTAATTTGTCTTATTAATATTCAGATKTTTCCATGAATATGGATAACCAAGGTTTGACTGTACAGTGTTGATYGTGGTTTTATTTTTGTTRGGCGAAATATCCCAAACCTACCCAAGTAAAGGAAGCTCTTCTGGTCCACAGTCATCATCATCATAATCTTCAAGAGTACCAATGCTTAAGCATTCTATTTCTTCTTTGATCTTATCACAAGATGAGGATGAATTCTGATCAAATCCAGAATCTAGCGACCCACTACGACCATGTGAGTTTTTTTGTTTTTTGTTTTCACAAAAATGGATGTCAATATCAACTTCATAATCACAGCTGCACACTAATTTTGTACAAATTTGATCACGGGCCAAGAGCTCCATGAAGGCATTTTCCAGGCAGTGACCAGAATTCATAAAATCTGTTCTTGCATTATRATTGAATCCATTCATTCTGTTACTGCAATGACTGCATGTGTTGTCCCCTATACARTAGCACTGAAATGTTGGCTTTCCATCAGAATTTGTATCCTGAATAGGTTCAGCAACTTCACAGCAGTAACACTTAAAGGTTTCACTTCGTTCTGAGAAAGCTAGATCATCCAAGAAGTGTTGAAGGTCYTTTGCAACTACCCATTTTGGTAGGCAGCTGCATGATCCAGACAAAGTATTTAGTCGAATTAACCCATTTACATTTGACTGTTTTTGCAATAATCCACATTTATCACAACAAGGTAGTCCTTCAAGCAATCTTCTTGGGAGATTATTTGACTTGTCTGATTTGGTGATATTTGTTAGTTCTTTAGGTATTAGTTTTTGACAATTTATACAGATTGATAGCCCACTGCGCTCCATGCATGATTCACATATATTATGCTTGTGATACAAGTTGAATTCATTAAACACATCTTTTCCATCACTGCATAAACAACAATACTCAGTTTCTGATTTTCCCACAATATTTCCATTCTTTGACTCAGCTCGTTGCAAATTGTGGTCAAAAACTTCAGTACATCGAATGAAGTAACTTATTAAGTTTAATAACTGACCAACTAGTTTTGAGTTCTTTCCAGTGACAACTGTTCTGGCAAGTTTTAAAGGGAAACCTATTGCTCCATATAAATCACTAGGAAAAATAACACACATAAGTTTAAATAGGACATAATTATAATTATTTATAAACATCTCCACATTGTGCCCTCATGTAAATACTGAAATCAAGCTGCCGATGGCAACTGCTAACTCGGAGATTGTATAATGATTTTTTGTAAAAAAGTAACAAATATCATGGTTATTTGATGGAAACTACGAAACTACAGAAAAGACAATTATATATTTTTATATCAACATGCAAAACCCATAGTTTTAATTTCAGACAAAGCATAAAAACCAATTTGACATTTGCCATTAGCAGTAAATGTGAATCTAAAACTCTATATTAATATCTTATTAACCRAGCATGAGGGCCGTACGGGAAGTTACGGACCAAGTTTTTTCCACTGACTTATGGCCAGAGCGCGTAGCACGAGGGCCATAAAAAGTGGAAAAAACGAGGTTCCATAACTTCCCGTACGACTCGAGCAAGCAAGGTTAATAAGATATTTATTATATAGCATTTTCAGGGAAAAATAGTAAAATTAATAGAGAATCGGACATAAAAATATGTTTTTGTTCATACTTTTCTTATCATTCAAAATAGAAGGAAAAAAGAAAAGCCTGAGAAACCTTGATGGCAAAATTTGGATTCATTTTTGACTCTTTTTTATACAGTACAACTACAAAAAGAGAGAAAGCGAGCCTTTTTAAGATAAAAAAACGTTTTTTCTCATTTCATCTGGTCCGTAAAGGAAAGTATGGCCCGCTTTTTAGCCAATGAAATCGTGTGTTTACATCCGAGCTATATAATAACTTTAAATGCACTGGTGTGTCAATGGATATCTGGACAAACTTATTAGGTTGTGACCTTATTAATTCTTGTAGAATTACAATCATTCCATGAAGCTTTCAGATAAGCAATAAGTTTGAAAACCTTTGATATTATTTTGCAATTATTTCGATGAAGGCAAACTTCTGCCTCAAAAAATTGTGCATGATTAAATACAGTACATGTTCAAATCTTACCTTAGCTGTGCCCATAAAGGATTATAAGGATGAGACTGAGCTAGAAGGTCCAACTGCAAAGCAGAACAAAATGTCAACAACAAGAACATCTGTCATAAAATTGTGATCACAGTTGTAAGACTTGACTCACTGGACTAGACTAAGCTGACCTTGATTGGGTACAATCCAAAGAATGTGGCCAGAACAATCAAAGTTTGTTCTTTTCATTAATTTAATTACCAATTATTTGTGAGAACATGACTTGTGGGAATGAACAATTAACACTGCCCAGCAAAATTATAAATGGATCTCACTAAGTAAAAAATATCAATTTTAATAAACTGCCACATTAAAATTGATTGGACATTTCCCCCAACATTTCATGAAGCTTCATAATTCCTTTTGAATAAGCATTATCTGTCATAAGTTCCAAATTAAAATTGTGTTTGAAAGAGCTAAACATTTCAAAGGAAAAAAAAAATACTCAAAATCATCACCAATTTGAGAAAAATTCTTAAAACAGTAATAATGTGCCACATTCGAGATTTCCAATGCAACACAATTGTGAAGCTCATAGTATTTATTGTTACAGTTCCATAGTAACTATACATGTAGCAACAAGGTTATTCCAAATATTAAGGTATCAGGAGGGGTTCGTTTCAGACATCTTTTCAAAAAAATATTTTCTTTATTACGAAAGAATATAATATCAACTTTTATATCAACTTTAAACACGATTAATTAATGAAAATGAAGATYGTGACCAAAACTATTCCAGAAACCRATTGTCATCACCTAATTAGGCAATCTGTTATCAGCTTAATGTATGAATTTCAATCTTTTTAATAGTATATAGTCAATAGCTTATAGTTTAATTGTAAATAGTTATTCAGATGTTGTCTCGGMAGCGAARTTCGCTTTTTACTTCGGCGACAAAGAAGGCAAAATGACCGTTTTCAGCGGAGCGAAATTCCTTTAGTCAAAGGCTCGTATTTTGGCCAGGAGAAGCAGTGTCCCGGTGAATTTGAGAAAGAACTTGGAGCCAGCTCTAAGACGTTGCCCAGTAAACTTTTGAAGTACCTCAGTCTATAACACGTTGTCRGGGACTTGTTCCGAGCTCGCTTCTTTCCCCGTTTCCTACTTCCTGGGACTGATTCTTRCCTTCATCTTCTGGGCATAGTTATAAACTCCTGGAATTTGAATTTGGAATAAAACGTCCAGAGTTCAGAGCTCAGAGGATGCTCAGCTGTAAGTTTGATCTTTGCCTTTGAGAATGATTGTAAAAGGAACATATCCTGAGAATACCCAGGCATAATGACAACAGATATGAGGTGTTGTGTAAACACCCCTGTGGTTCCCTTGCCCAAATGAAAAAATGCGTTTATCTGGCGTTTTGAAACAAAAAAAATTGTACTTTTAAAACGTTCTAACTTTTCCACAATAAAACATTTTGACTTCAAAATTCGCAAGAATAGAAATCACATTTGGAACTAAAAAACGGTGTTGGCGATTTTTGATTTTCGCTTTCGTTGTTGAGATCTTGCTCAGTTTGTAAACTGATACGCGGTAAATTCAATGATCAATATTTAGGACTCTGTAGCGGCTTATCTAAAGCAGTGATGAAAAATYGCCAACACCGTTTTGGACTTTAATATATTAGGAAAATGCTAACTTGGTTTTCATTGCTAAGACGACAATTTTGACGCAGTTCAAACAAGGTACGGTCAAAATATGCTTTCATCGGAGTATCTTAATGGCGTTTTAAATTATGGAAATTTAGAAAAAAATTCCAAAAACTACATTTATTTAGCTTTTTAAAAATATATACTTTTGTTGAGGTATTTTACAAAGCCGACGCGTTATTTGAGTTTGTGTGAGTACTGTAGTGGTCGTGAACCCCTCCTGATACCTTAACTTCGTGAATAAACAACATCCTATATAAATTTCCTAAAACTATTCTTTCACACTTACAGTTTGTGAAGAGTGCTTATCCAAATATGCTCTGTTTGGAGCAGCTCCAGCAGGCATAACTGTTGGTACCCAAGCAAGATGATGTGTAAGGACAGCAGATAATAAACTAGACAGGAAACTGCAAATAAAAACATTCAGGTCTCTAGWGGAACCTCCGTTACCAGTCATCTCGCCCCATTGCCATCTCGCCCCCACTATTCATAAAAGGCTCTCTACCGATAGAAGATCAGCCGTCTGCTGGATAACAATTACATATCAATTGATAACGTAATTGCCAAAGTGGGGGCGAGATGGTGGGGTGAGACGGTAGAGTGGGGCGAAATGGGAATGGGGCGCAATGAACGTACATTACAGCATAGATAATAACAAACACCAGAAATAAAAGCAACTTAAAAAAGTGAATTGTGAAATGAAAGAAAGGAATGCACAAGAACATGAATAAATGATTAGTCATCAAAATACATGTAATCAAAGTGGACTATCGTACGACCTAGTCATTGTGTCAAAGAACAGAGAATTCACCAATGCAAATGGAGATATGCAGACCAAATTGTCCAATGTTTATTTCCACTGTAACGAGAAATGCATTAGAAAGAAACTGTCCTATTTTATTCCGTRCTTTTACTTATGTCCTCCTGACATTAGTTGCCGTTTTGTTCAAAGCCATAAGGACCTTATCAAGAAGGAGCTTGATAAAAAAGGTTAATTTTACAAAATAATTTGCTTTCATATACGATTATATGATAAACAGTGTATTACATGGTCGCTTGGAGATACAAATTTTTTATCTTCTTGAGTTGAAAATCTCTCTTTACTACACTCACTTCTGAGAGATCTTTTCAACACTCAAATTAAAGATAAAGTCCATATYCCCATTATCAAATATATCATAGAGTGTGTTCATTATGTCCATGAAACAATTGGCAAACAAAATTTGGCAAATTTGTACAACCTTGYAAATACTAGTAAGATTGGGATTCACAAATAATCACTAAACTGCAAAAAAATGGAAATAATCCAATGATGTCAAGTGCAATTTACTGAGCCAACAATTTCATCTCTCTTGATGGACCTCTTATCCAGGGCATATATCAAAATGCTACTTATATCAAGCACGATTCACAGTGACCTACGCATATTCCATCTTGTCTTATCTTAGGTCATGGAAATAGCACAAAGGCCAGCCCCTCAGGAGAATTGTGTCAAGAGTTTTTGTCATTAAAACCAAAAAAAGTAGCTACAGTTATTTATTTCACCACAAATTTGATGGATTTTTTCATCACCTGCATAACTAATGGCAGCATATTTGTGTCTCAAAATAGTATCATTGTTTCGTGTTTGTTGCACTGTTAATATTTTTATTGTATTGACTGTCCTCAACTGTATCATGTTTTCCTTGTTTGTATTTCATTACTTGAATACAGTGTTATTCCACAAAAATATGATGACTTTTCCTTGCTTTGTTGGAAATATGGAGAAATTTGATTTTCAAGTAAGAACTCTCAATGCCAGTGGAAGTCACCATTTCAAGAAATATAGAAAAGTGCTACATTGCTGGATTCAGTCAAGCTGGATTCTTTCAGCAAGTAAGCTCCTTCACTACCTACAAACTTAATGATGTCCATATAGTAGTGACGTATGGGTGTTTTTTTTTCAAAGGAAAACATGAGAAATAAATACCAAACAAGAACTATTTAGACTGGAAAATTAGTGAATGTACACAATTTTCTTCAATTTTGTGAAAGTTTCAAAAAATACCCTAAAAAGTCATTTATGCCATTTTCAAATCTTAAATTGAAAATAACTAAGTTATTATTATAATTAGGAACATTCTTGTACCCACTTCATCTTCATCCGATTGAAATTCAAAGGAAACGCCATTCTGTGAGAGTCTGGAGAGAGAGCTTAGAGCATACACTGGAAGCAAGATTTCTTGTTTCTGGTTTGTAGGGTGCCCCATGCTAGACCCTACGATAGGCCGCCAGAGTAGGTCTGGGTACGAGAATGACCTTATGAATTATACCACCAATTTTGCGAAAAGAAAATTGTGCAGAATCACTTTTTAATTTGCCAAAAAATCCCCTACTTTCTAATTTGAAACTTCAGAATTACATTTTAAACAAAAATATAAATCTATCCAAAAAAAAAAATATAAATCTGACCAAAAATAATTTTCAAATTTGGCTAATCCATTACACTGCACAGAAATATGATACAAAGGAGACAATTCTGGACAATTCCTTTTAAGACTGTTTTTTGTAAGTTGAAAATCTTTTTTTTTTGCAAAGTCATGTCAGTTATGTATAAAATCCATTAATATTGTACTTTCTTTTACTTACAAACCAGTTTCTCTGTTATTGTAAAGCTTCAAAATGTCAGTAAATTGTTCCATGAACTGCTCACATAATACTCGTCTGTCATCAGGAAATGTCATCATATGGAGCCAGACAGGTTCCTATAGATACAAATTAATAAAATAATATTTGAATTGCTTCACCATTTGACTTGCAACAACTCACATTTACCTTGAGTCTTGGAGTTTTAAATAAATTACAAACATCTTCAGAAAATGTGTCAAGGGCCTAGCAAGAAATAAACAACAGAAAAAGAGAAGGAAAAATGATGTATATCAGTGACACTTCAAAACCGTTATGCCTGAGAATGAACAATAAGATAATTTATAACTAATACATCATTCAACTATTAGAACGTATTCGCATAACCCACTTTTTAAATGCTAATGAGTTTTGCTAATATTCTAATGAGATTGGCACAAGAAACAAAAGAGCCAATTCCTTATTTTGAATGCCAACAGATCGTTTGTTTTAAGCGGTTCATAATGTTGATTTAAATTGTTTTAAATAAATTGGGTGCATGGGAAGAATTATAAAACAAGCATTGCAGAATTCCACAACCCGTCGATACTAGAATCAAAACCAATTCTGGACAATGAGGTCCGTTTCAGATGTCGACCTTTACCGCATCTAATCTAATTACTTGCATGTAGTTTTAATGTTTCCTTTTGAAATAATATTCGCTACTGAAATCACTCAAGCATTGGCTCTTTTGTTTCTTGTGCCAATCTCATTAGAATATTAACAAACTCATTAGCATTTAAAAAGTGGGTTATACGAATACGTTCTATTAGTCAAACAAGTGCTGTCTATTTCACCTTGTAAAATTTATTTGATGAAACAGTGTTGTATCAGATTTAMAACATGATCATCAGTTGGCTTGCACACAGAGTTTACTTACACAAAATTCTCACACTGAATTTTTATCTATTTCTGGTTAACAACAGTCAGGTTATTAAGATCAAATCTCAAGACTTTTAAGACTTAAAAGTCCTCTCTTTCCCTCTTTCATGGGCTGAGAGAACTAAACTTAGATATAGATATTTGGAACGTGTGATTTGTGTAAGTCAAGTTCGCCTAACCTCTACATTAACCATTACACTGAAATATTTCTTTCAAAAGTTAATTGTCTTAATAATTTGCCTTTAAACAACAGAGTGAAAAAGAACAATTTAATGTGCTTCATACAAATAAGAATGTACCTCAATAATTTGAGCTGAGAATGAATTTCTTGACCAAAACGCTTTCTCAATGGCACATCTCAATCGATGCATATGTGAATCGAAGAGAGGGTAATGTGAAAAGAAGAAACCTTGAAGAGCACTATAGCAAAAGAAAGAAATAGTCCCATTGCATATAAATATATTAAGTGAAGTGTGACAGAACTGGTGTGTATAAAGGAAGATGTTTCAAATAGATCCTGTGCACCCCTGAGTTTTATGTTGTTGATGTTMTCTCAAGGATGGGTCATTCAAGTGAATGAAATCTAGTAAAAACATTTTTGATAATATGCTGTGCAGATTTGAAAACAACACAAGTGACGATTTAGGGTATTTTTGAAATTTTTGAAAAATTGACAATAAATCGCTTCAATCATTTGTTTCTGGTCTACTGTAAATAAAATTTTGCGACCAAGGTACATGTGATTCCAGGCGTACTGTAAATAATCATGTTTGCTAGTTATTTCTCGTGATTTCCTTTTAAAAAGCGGAAAAAAGTCGACATGTAGTTACAGACTGTACCCTCCCCTCCCCCAAACTTTAGCATAGGGTTAGTTCCAGCCTTATGCAAGAGTTAGGGTTCCTATAGCCTAAGACAGGAGCTAGGGTTCCTTGATTTAGGGTTAGGGTTAGAATGGTTAAGGTTTAGGGTAGGGTAGGGTTAACGTTAGCTAATGGTTAGGCTCTAAAACCTGAGTTTGTAAAGCAAACAAACTTCCCCCCCCTCTCCCCCCCGAGTCCACACTTTGAAGATTGTATAAAAAACAGCATGGATGACTGAGCTACTCAGTTTGACATTGATAAGCCAGTTAAGCGACAGTTGAAGTCACAAAAATTAAGCGAAAACAAGGGCAGTTTTGACTCTAATTCTCRCCTACAGTSAAAAAAGCACTATTTCCTTGTCTTTTTTTCYTACAAAATTCTAGATTTCAAGAAGCGAATGAYTGTTTGTACTCAATTTTAGTCCTACTTCTGTCATTTAAGTGTTTTATTTTTCAAATTTTCCATAAAGATCTCATGCTACGGCTTTCTCT